TTTTTGGGGGGGGGGGGGGGGGGGGGGGGGTTGGCACTCGGCCCAAAAACACTGCTGACCCCTGGTCTAGCTCCATCCTCTCTGGAACCACTCTGCAGGTAGCTGAAGACTGCTATTAAACCCCCTCTTGTCTTCTCTTCTGCAGGCTAAATAAGCCCAGTTCCCTCCATCTCTTTGAAAAAGTCACGTGCCCCAGCCCCTGAACCATTTTCACTGCTCTCCTCTCTCCAACTTGTCTATATTTTTTCTGTAGTGGGGGGCCCAAAACTGGACACAGTACTCCAAAATGCAGCCTCACCAGTGCTGAATAAAAAGGAATAACCACCTCCCTCAATCTGTTAGCAATGCTCCTACTGATGCACCCCATTAGCCTTCTTCACAACAAGGGCACACCGTTGACTCATATCCACTGTAACCCCCAGGCCCTTTTCTGCACAGCCAGTCAGTGCCCAGCCTGTACCGGAGCATGGGATTGTTTCATCCTAAGCACAGGACTTTGCACTTGTCCTTCCTGAACCGCATGAGATTTCTTTTGATCCAGTCGTCCAATTTGTGGAGCTCTCTCTGAATCCTAGCCCTACCGTACAGCATATCTACTACTCCTCCCAGTTGGTATAATCTACAAACTTGTCGAGGGTGCGCTCCATCCCATCTTCCAGACCAATACCTCGATGAAGATATTGAGCAAAACTAGTCCCACATCAGATGTACGAAATGTCTTTGATGCTAGTTCAGTGGAGAACACGTGCACTTTAGAAACCAAGCTGGAATGTGCTTTATTTCCAATTCTTCTCAACTGTGTGGGTATTTCTCTCTTTGCTCTCCCTAAAATTATTTTAAAATTATTATTCACCCACTACAATGCAGTCAAAAGGGCAGAGAGGAAAGGGCTGGAATTACTGATGGCTGGCTGAATTCAATAAACTACACATCATTTTTCAAACTTGGCATCCCTGACAACAGACTAAACTGCCTGCCCTTCAATTAGATCATAAAATTCAACTTCAATTACACCAAACTCCCTGTTATCTAAGACAGTCACATCCCCCAATGGACTATTAATTTCACTAACAAGTTTCTCATTCATGCAAAACCTTGATGGCCACAAGATATTCAGAAATCCAGCTTGTAAGCCTCCCAAGCTTTAGGAGAATTTCAATTGCAGCACCCCCTGCAATCATTGTGACAGAAAGATTACTTGGTTTACTAAAATAAACAACAGAGGTTAAAAGCATGCAAAACCAGCTGCCCATTTTTGAACGGGGAAGTAAAATGGGGCACCAAATCAGAATGCAATTCATTTGATTATTCTTGTGACTCATACTTTTCTTCATAGATGAGCTATATGTTTCTTCCTCCTTTGAGTACAACAGACAAAAGCCATCAGGTAGGGCTGGCCTAACTCTAGCCCACTAATTTTACCATTAGCAGTACTGGGGGAAGAGTAAGACCAACACATTTCCAAAGCCCATCTGAACTCTCAAACTACCCCAGGCATTTTGGGCCCAATGCCAGAGTTTGGCTCAACGTAATTCTGTTCATCTGGATTTTACTCTGGCAGTGGTACGCCTCATATGTAAAACACGAATTTACAGCTGGGAGGCAGGGAAGGAACCATCCCGTTTCACGATGGGGAAGAACAGAAAAGTGACCGCTCCTAGGTCACAAGGATGTGGTGGACCCAGGAACTGAACTCAGATGGGGTTTCCCAGGCCAGTGTCTTACACTTTCTCCTTATTCAACCTTATTATTAGAATGTGAAACACCACTGAATTCCCTCTCGCCCAGGCTGCTCTCCACCTACATCTACCCCACGCAGGTACTGGTCAACCAACTCTGGGCTAAGTCAAACCAGAACAGCTGTGTCTACCACAAATAGATCAGCACTTACAGCAGACCGTATAATTTTTTTTATTATTATTTATTTTTTTTTTTTAACAAGAAATGATGCTGAATACTTGCTACCGACTACCAGGACTGTAATCCCTGCATCCGGCTTGGACGAGTCCCTGACGTTACCATTAATCAATTCTGGGCTCTTCGAGGACACCTGCAACTGGCCCCTCCAAACATCTGTTCTGCATACATGCCCTGCACCCTCTCAGAAACCCAGGTCCCTCCTCCGGCCTTTCCACCATTCAAAGGTAAATCCATTAGTTCTGCAGAGCCAAGCCCCTGAGGGAGCTGCCAGTCAGAGCAAAGCTTTGGACCTTAATCATGCCAAGCAAAGCTGATGGCTGCCCCAAGGTAAAGATAAAAGCCAGAAAGGAAGAGAGAGGGAGAGAATACATAATCTCTTAATTTGAAAATGTCTTACAAAAAAGGAGTTATAGGACAGAGGGTCTTAAACTGACAGATTGCGCAGCACCAATTTAAAACAATACAACCTTAAGTACCACCAGGTGAGGGGTTGTGTATAGGTGAGGGGTTCTGGGGGCAGGACGTGGGTATGTGGGGCATGGGGACCCCTGCACTCCCCCCCATGGTGCACCATCAGGTGAGGGTGCTCAGGCCACCTGACAGCGCCGCACACTGCAACATCCTCCACCAGGCAGTCTGTAAAAAAAAAAATCGCCAGCACTCCCCACGCTCGCCGGGCACAGGAGGAAAGTCCCACGCGCTGGAGCCAGCTGCCTTCCTTGCTCCCCAGGTGAAGGCGCCCGGGGCTTCCCTCCCACCCCATGCAGCCCCAGCTGGGAAGGCAATCGGCCCCAGCGCGCAGGTCTTCCCCTCACATGCGTGGAGAGTGCAAGAGCTGCACGTGCGTGCAGGGAACGCTGGCAATACAGGTGGCCTGGCAGAGGCTGCGCCCCCGGCCGCGATATGCAATGCTGGCCAGAGCTGTACCCCCCCGGGCATCTGCACCAGGCACGAGTGCCCTGAGCAACCCGGCCTGCTGCTGCCGTGTACCACTGCCGGGTTGCCTGTGTACCACCGGTGGTACACGTACCGCAGACTGGAAACCGCTGTTATAAGATATACTGCAAACGGACTTCTTACTTCTCCTTGAAG